GGGGGGGGGGGGGGGGGGGGGGGTCGCTTAATCCTCCTCCTCCTCCTCCTCTGGGCGCATCCCCGCGGTCGGTGCCTGGCCGGGCAGCCGTTCCTCCGGCATCCTCACGGGAGCTGCCGCAGCTGAAATACAAAAAGTCATTTCCGAGGGGGTGCGCGCGCGCGGGGGGCGCTCACGGCCGCCCACGGCCACCCCGGGGGGGGGGGGGGGGCCCGGGCGGGGGGGGGGGCTCCCCCCCCCGGTTCCGCGGGCAGAGGGCTTGAAGGGGCGGACCGGGCAGAGTAAGCCCGGTCCCGGGACAAGGTGGGGGCGGGGGGACACGACACGGGGACCGCGTGCTGCCCACCTACCAGCACCGGGCAAAATGAAAAGGCAGGGAAAAAGGGCTGGGGGGAAATAAATAAAAGGAATTATGGAAAAAAAAAAAATGAAAAAAGAGGGAGGTGGGGGAGGGAGCCGCCAGCTGCCACGGTGTCCTTCTGCGCCCGGCGGTCATTAGCTGCCTGCCGGCACAGCTGGCTCCGCCGGGCGCTGGTTGCGGCGGCACCGGCCCCCCCGGCGCTCCCCGCCGCCTCCGGGCACGGGGGGGCTGCCTGCGGGCCGCGGGGGGGACGGGACTAGGTTAAAAAAAAAAAAAAATACTTAAGCAATTTCACAGCCTGTGATCCCGGCGCCTGCAGCTGTACTAACGACAGAGTATTTATCCCAGCCTCTCGGGGAGGATTCCCCGCCACCGCCGCCGGGGACTGCACAGGGAGGACTGGGGACACACACACACACACCGAGACGGGGATAGCCCCTCTGCGGGGCAGGGGGCTTCATGGAGAGACAGCCCGGGAACGCTCGGGAGGGCACGTCGCTGTACCTGCTTGAACTAGCCCTCGGCGGGGAAAGATGGCTCTCTGCTTCAGGGCTAGGAAAGTTTAGGAGGGGGCTAAGGACACAGCGTCCGTTTTATTTCCCACCGCCCCCTTCTTCCCCCGGGAGGTGAAGGGGGGTATTTTAGTTTATGGCAATGAGGAAGGTATATTATGGCAGCCTGCGCGAACTAAAGCAAAACATAAGCATAACTTAAAAAGCCCTCAGTTTATGAACACTGCCTCTTTGTTTTCCAGATGCTCTACCTGAATAGTTCAGATATTTCCAGCATCTTTTCTGATGTAGTGCTATCGATCAGAAACGCTCACTCGGGAGGCAGTCGTGGGGCTACGTCTAGTTTCCAGACTCCGGTATGTTTAGTTCAAAATGGTTATCAATTACGGTAATTACGATCATAATTAGATTAATGAACCGTTTGCAGCCCAACCTACCGAGTGCAAAAACTTCGTCTTCTCCCAACGTCGTGCACTAAAAAGCGGGCTTTATGTAAACAAATCCATATGAAGGGAGCGTAAATCTACAGAAGGAACCTCACCCTCGGCTGCACTGGGGACCGACGGGTGTCTTTCCGTCGGGGGGGGAAAAAAAGACCCTGAGCCCGCAGGAGCCACCTCTGTGTTTCCACGTCAGGGAAAAACCCAGACTCTCGCTGCCTTCAGAGGTCTAGTGGCAATACAAAGGCTGCCCCGGAAAGCTCTAGGCTAAGCATCGTCTCGTGGAGGGATGCGAAGGATTTGCATACAGCAAAAGAAAAAAAAAAAACCCTCTCCCGTTTCCAGAAAGGAAAACGTAGCTGCATATCCTCGATAACAACTACTCAATAAAACTAGTTTTGCCAACCATGTGTATGAAAGCCCCGCATCTGGTAAGGAATAAAACGTTAGCGTTCAGCCTTTTATGCCAGAAGTCAGACGCATTTTCTTGCCCTATTCCCCCCAGCATTAAAGTGGTTTCTCTCCACAAGAGCTTCCCTCGCTAGCTACCTTTTCTCTCCCTGCGATCCCCTCTCAGGGTTTATTGCCACCAGCAGCGAGAAAATGATGGTGCCCACCAACCGGGTCATTATTGTTTAATCGATGCATCTCCGGAGCATGAAAAGGGTACCCGAGACGCAGTTATTGATTTCCCTCCCCCACTAACTATCGCTCTCTTTTCTGCGAATGAAATAAATAAATAGAAATTGCTAGCCGGGCTTTGCGATTCTGTCCCTGCTTAAGCTAAATGTGACCGTACATGTTCAATGTTGCATATCTGCTCTGCCAAAGACAGAGAGATCAAAGGTCATATTTAACATTCAGGAGGAGGGGCGGGTGCAGATTAATTAATAAATTAATATAGCGATGCCTTTTATTGCCCAAGTCTAGCATTAATCTACTTTTACGATCCCAGAGGACAAGAACAACAGGAAAAAAAAGAGCCCCCGACAAACCCACAAAATTTGAAAAACACAAAAAACGACCCCTCTAAAAAGAAACAAACAAACCTAAAAACCAAGACCACAAAAAACCAAAACAAAAATAACAACCCACGAAGAATAAGGGGGGAAAAGGGGGGGGGGGAAGCAAACCAGTCACTTACCAGGCTCTTTATTTGGGGGGGCTTGAGCGTGCAGACGCTACCAGCCTGTCTGCCTTTAATTAGTTGCACATCAGTCCCTAACACAAAGAAGAAGAAGAAGAAGAAGAAGAAAAATATCCAGATGTGCCTTGGCAGCTCCTCAATTACAACTTTGATACTTGTAAACAAACTGCGAGGGGCGGTGGGGAAGGTGGGGGGGGGGGGAAAGGGGGGATAAATTAAGCCGCCGATCCACTAAACAAATACCTGTAAGTGGCTTTTTTTCCCCCCCCTCCCTCTCTCGCCCGTTGCAGAGAAAGGAGGAGGGGGGGGGGGGGCAGGGGGGGGGGGGGGGGGCGAGGAAGGAGCAGGCACAGGGGGGGGGGGGGGGGGAGTGTGCGTGTGTGTGTCTATGTGTGTGTGTGCGTGTGCGCGGTGGTCTCCTCTGCCGGCGCGCTGCTCGCCGCCCGTCTCCCGGCGCCCGCCCTCGCACACAGCGCCGGGAGTGCGTGTGCGTGTGGCGGTGCGGGGGAGGGGAGGGGAGGGCGGGGGCGGGAGGCGATCGCCGCCGAGGTGAGGGAGCGCGGCGGGAGGACGCAGGGATGCGGACACCCGCTGCCGCCGCCGCCGCCGAGCGGCGCGCACGGGCCGCGGCGCAGCGCGGGGGG